CTGAAATTCCAGCAAGCACTTGGGAGGCTGATATAGGAGGATTGTCACAAGTTTAAGGCCAGGCTAGGCTACACAAAAAGGCCTTGTCTCAATAAATAAGTAAATAAACAAATACACAAATGAAATTTTAAAAATGAAGCTGGAAATAACTACAAACACAGAGATGGCCACATGCCAACCACCCAGACACACACGACTGTGTACTCCTTCTATCCCATCTGCAGCCTCTACTTACTGGGGTCACAAACTTGTTCGCTTCCCAGGCCCATAGAGGTGGGTCCTTATAGACCTCCTTGATGGAGGTAGGAGCCCTGTAGGAGTCACTGTAGGTGCTGATGGGGGTCTTGGTCTTCCGGGAGAAGAGGAACATGGTGGGGTCTCAGGGATGCTGTAGTGGGCTTTGCCTATCAAGGACTCCTGCTGGACATCAGTGACTACCCCTTCCCCTAAATAGCCCACACCTCCAGCCTGGAAGGTGCCCCTAGATGCTGTGACCCCTTCCTTTGGGGGACCTCTCAGTATCTTTCCACTCAGCTTTCTTGTTTCCCACCCCACCCAACTTCCTTTTTAAGATAGGCAATGCCCATTATGATATCACCTGCCTGCCCCATCCCTGCACTGGAGGCCTACTTGCCTCCTCATGCCAGCCCCTTTCTGCCTTGGATCTCTCAAGATATCCAATTCCCAAGAGTTCAGAAGGCTCTAGGGAACTTGCAGGACAGACGTCTCACTGTTGAAGGGAGGCAGAGGTTCCGATTCACAGTCCGAGGGTTGTGACTCACCTAGGGCCACATGTCAGGAACGAGCAGAGGTAGAGGGACATGTGTATCCAGGAGGTCAGGGTTTTTTCCCTTCCTCAGCCCCCTTGCCATGGCCCCACACCTCAGGTAAGGAGCTGAGTCTGGCTTGTTTGATGCTTTTAATATTATTTTGTGTTACACGATACACAACCAAGGATGATGGTCAATACTGCGATGGAAATGTTAAAAAAAATATTATACACGGCTCATGTCTTCCACACACCTTCTTGGAAATAAATTAGTAAGCTCGGAGAAACCTGGCTGGGTAGCAGCCACAGCCGAGGGTGGGGGAGTGTTAAGGCAGTATCTACAAGGGGTGGGGGGAGCAGGGGCAAGCTAAGGCCCTGACTTTTCCCCTTCAACTTCCAAACAGGAAAGGAGGGAACTGTGTGCTCTCCTTGGACTTGGAAGCTGCAGGCTGCCAGCCTCCTACCCCTACCCGCTGTGTAAATACCACCTCAGTCTAATGCCCTTGCCTGCTAGGGAACTAGTGTGTTCACAAGGGCATTTGCCCTTGGCTCTCAGGGGCACACACATTGAATTAGAATCCCACAAGAAGTCAGCAGCAGAGGCAGCAGTCTAAAGAGAGGAGCTGTCCATGTTCTAGAAGGGTGAGTGAGTCCAAGAGCCCAGGGGGGTGGGCTGGGAGGAGTTCTAGCTCTGGGGCCCAGGGGATGAGTGGTGGGGATGCCAGCTGGGGTGGGAGAGGGGCTCAGGCGGGGCCACTGTGGGCTGTGTGGCACTTGCAGATGCTTTCTCGGGCTCAACTCCTTTGGCATTCTCTTATCTAATTAGGATCTCTGCACTAGGGGAGGTGAGCCGGGCTGGAGGTGTGGGGAGTAGAAAGCTACACTCTAATACGGGAGTGGGCAGTCCCTGGGTGTGGTGCAGAGAGAGACACTTCCCTTCCTAAGCCAACAGCCCCACTCCTCCTCACTAACCCCATTCTAGCCCCTGGCACCCAGAGAGTAACATGTGAGTGGTATCCAGAGGGAGCCTGGAGAAGCTACACTCTGGCCACACTGGCTCAGTGAGTGGAGGCTGCGGGCCTAGCCCAGCAGTCGGAGGCTCTCCCTGCTTGCAGTTGTCTCAGCCATGGGAGAGCTGCCGTCTCACTGAGCTACGTCCTCAGCTTTCCTCCCTCAGACCACAACGGCAGCAGAAGCAACAGTATGCAGACACCCCGTACAGCAACACACACACACACACACACACACACACACACACATATACAGACACACACACACTAAGTCAACATGGACTTCCCATGTCCACACAGACGCACATACACCTCCAGGTGCCTCCTGAGTTCAAAGACACACAGATGTCATAGTCTTTTGCAGAAATTCCTATTAAGAAATTCCTTCTGGTATGAAAAGACTCTGTCAGTGATGTCAGCTATTCTTTATTTTCCAGTTGTGAGAACTAAAGCCCTGGAGAAGCCTTAGAATTGCTTAGGAGCTCAGGGAGAATGCCAGGGCTGGGACCAGAGCCCAGGCTTCTGACTGCCAGGCTGTGGTCTCCATCCACTGCATTTCCAAGCAGCCTCTCACACAGTTAACAGACCACAATCATTTCCCCACTACAGACACCCACCTGGTTGCCCTGGACAGATGGGTTCAACACACAGGCGCACACACACGCACACACACGCACACACACACACGCACACGCACATACACACGCATGCTCTACCACATACACACACCCACTTAGTTCATTATTTTCTTAAGCCTGCTCTTGAAGAGCCTTTCTGGAAGCCAGCCTCCTAGACCTTGAGTTAGGGTAACACGGGAATGGGGCACAGGAGGCTTATCTCTTGCTTCCAGCCAGAAACCAATAGACAGAAGATTGGGGAGCAGGGGTGGTGGTGGCAGTGTGGGGATGAGGCAGAGAGACAGATGCATTGGTTAGAGACCCGTGAGAACAGGTCATACCATCCCCAAACTTGGCTTCTTTCTAAGGCCCTTCTTACCTTCCCAACCCTCAGAAAATAAGGAAGCAGGGGAAAGAGACAGTGGTGGGAGTGACCTAATGGAGAGAGAGACAGTATCCCTTTGGACAGCCATTGCTAGGCTTCCCATCTGCAGATGAGGGAACACACAAGTAGGTGTATAGGCTGGCACAGGGTTTGGGGGAGGGGCTCTGAGGTGTGAGAACTGCCCCCATTTCTTGGGGCCTTTTCTTCTCCAAACCCCCTTCCTTCCTTCCCGAGCAGGGCTTGGGGGGATTCATGGCTTCACTGACTGGGGCCATGTGATCCCTTCACCCGACAGCTTACATTTGGCCTCCTGGCCTTCAGTGCTGCCCCCTGACTGCAGCTATGGGAGAGGTGGCAGGGTGCTTGGGTGTGGTTTCCCCCAAGTAACTGAACAAACAGTGCCCACCCCTCCTCAGCCCCGGGGCTGGAGACAGACCCGGTCTTGGTTTCTCCGGCTCCATGAACACACAGAGGTACACGTCCTACCATAGGAGGAAGCAATGACTGTTACGAGGTTGCGGTTGTAAGAGGCGCGGGGCTGGGGACCAGCGGACCAGCAGGGTAGGGGTCTCCCCTGCTGCGTCCCACCAGGCCCAGGTCAGCGCCGCCCCGTGCACCGCGGCGACCCCGCCCACTACTGAATGTGGCAGGCGGTGGAGGAAGTGGCCTGACAACACATGCAGGTGGGGTTCACGGACTTGGGGGGGATGAGATCTAGGTCCTCGTCGTCGGGGATCTCGTCTAACCGGTAGCCATCTTTCAGCAGCTGGATGTTCAAATCTTGGTTGATCTGCTGTAGAAAAGGTTCGAGTCAGCTGGAAAGGCAACACCCGGGCTGGAGCTGCTACTGTCACCCCCAAGGCCAGGGACAGCTCCATCTCATCTTAGGTCTGGGCCTGGTTCTGGTCTCACTTCCTCCACACAGGTTTTCTTTCCTAAAACTCAGCCATATACAGGTCCCTGCCTAGTCCAAGGTCAACTACTCACCTCCACCCCCGATTCTTTTCGGGGGTTTGCCCCGATTTCAGGTCAACTCGTGTAAGGTGTCGCCAGCATTTCACATCTGTTCTATTTTAGAGCCCCTCTTTAATAACCCCGAGCTCACTGTAATTCAGGTTAGTGATTTCTTCTCAAGTTCTCCCAGCCCAGGCCTCACCTCACGTGGAGCACTTCCCCAACAGGACTCCGCCCCACGTGCCTTCCTTCGGGGCCCCTTAGGAACCCTTCCATCCCCCCAACCCCCTGCCTTGCTGCTTAGTAAAGGTAGTCTGGCTCCCGTGGTCTGTGGAGGCAGCAAGGGGTGGAGCCTCACCTCCGCAGAGGAGTAGCCAGAGGAAGAGTATCTGGACATATCAAAATCATCATCGCTGGCCGTGAAGAAAAGAGGAGAGAGAAGTAATTCAGGGAAATTAAATAGAAAATTCTCTGCATCTTTGCTATACCCGCCCCCTCCCAACAGTATGATTTAAATAACCCGTGCTTATTATGCAAATATGTTTGCTAAGTCAGGTTTCCTAGCTCGACCTTTAAATGAAGTGACTTCTTAAGTGCCTTCTGGATAGAACTGCTATTCTCGTTCTGCCTTGTCCCACTAGGTTCAAATCATCCTGGCTGTTTGGATTTTCCAGAAGGCTAGTGAGATGCTACCCTGGAAGGGTTCTTCCCTGAGAGGGGGACTGGCATCAGGCATTCCACTGGCCGCCCAGAGACATCAGGGTCCATCATGGGGCAGCCCTGGGGCAGCTGTCTCAGGACAGCAGCAAACTGTGCTGGTCACCGGGCCTCTCTCTGCCCAATCCTTTCAAACCACCACCACCACAAAGCCAAAACCCCCACTTTCCTCCCGGGGATATTTTACCCACGGAGAGCTCCTGGCTGAAGAACACAGCACGTCTGGCAAAGTGACAGGTGTGGCCTGTACAACCCTCCGTGCTCACATGGCATCATGTGGCTGGCCCAGCTGCCCCCAGGCCCCATACACACCTGTCTGTGTCAAGAGCTACCAGTGGCTTCTCATCAGGGCTCTGGTCAAGCGAGGAGTAGCCTTTATTAGGGACGACCAGCCTGGGTAAAGAAGGCGGGGTTGGAGTGCCAGCTGGAGCACATAAACATGACACGGGGTCCTCCCCCCACTGTCACCCCCCTCCCATCTGGGTCCCCTGAGGAGGGAGGGGTGGAGACCAGCAATGGTAGGTGGTGACTGGTGAGGGTCCCTACCTCGTCCGGGCCATGACGTTGTTCTTTTTGGGTTGCTGGTTGACAGGGCTGCCCATGCTGCCGCTCTTCAGGGAACCCTTCCGGGCCAGCTCCCTTTGCTTCTCTGCAGAGAACATGGGAAAGAAGCTGTGTCCTGCCCCAGGGGCTGCCAGGCCGTGCTGCTTGGGGCAGCCTGGTCTGGGCCTTTCTTACAGACATGAACTTCTCTACTTGGCAGAGATCCCATGGACCTCCAGGCACCTGATGCTCGGTGGACATGCATGGGGCCTTGCATAACTGAGGTAGATAGTGGCAGACAAGAAGAGGAGGCTGACCCCTACCCTGTGGGAACCTCAGTTCCTACGTCAGGCAGACAGCATATGCTTGAGGTCAAGGAACGGCTAGAGAGGAAGAGATGAAGACAGACGGCTGAAGCAGTCAGAGAGGCTTTTCTGGAGGGAGGAGGTCATTAAGGAAGAAAGCATGTACAAAAGCAACTCAAGAGAACATAGCTGTGGATGTGAATGAACCGGAGGAGAGGAGGTAATAAAGAGGTGAACTTGGGAAAGCAGCCATTCATTCAGTTAATTATTCACTCAACAAACACCAGAATTGCAATTATGCATCAAGTACTATATCACAGGGACAGAAGGCTCCCAGAGGTTATAAAACTCAGAGCACGCACAGAGACTCCCATCTCAAAAAACAAAAGAACACAACCAAACCCCTCAGAGCACAAAGGCCTTGACTGAGGCACTTGGAATTAATGAGGATGGAAAAGGAGCTACTAAGGGTTTCCTTATTGAAAGGGGTAGAAAGGGGTCTTGGTCAGGATAGGGCAGGAAGCTGAGAAGCCTAGTCTGTAATCTTTCCAGGGGCACAGAGCCCCTGCGCTTGTGGGGCTGGACATTTGCTGACCTACTATGTGGTACATGGCTATTACTATGGGGAACTGCCTGGAAGAAGGCTCAACCACACTCTTACTAACGTCACGTAAAGCCACGATGTAGGAAAAAGGCTTGTTCTATGACAGAAACATGGCGGCAGGGGGTGGGTGGGTATCTCTCTAGAATAAGGATGGGAGGAGCCATTACAGCCCTGTAACCCACTTGAAAATGATCTCCTATTTCCATGTGTCTCCTACCCTCTGACCTCTGCCTCTATTTTAGTTTTCCAGCCTCTTTACAGCAGGCAGCAACTGTCATTACCATATGAAGCCTCTAGGGGGTGCAATTTGCCTTACAGTTCTTGGTGATTTTCTTTATCTTAAGTGAGACAAGTTGTTCATGAGCTTTGGTGGTGATTCAACAGTGAAGGAAATAAAAATGCTATTTTAAAAGCATGCTAAGTTTGTTTGAAATCATGAAAAAAATCAGACAATTAAGCTGACAAGGCTCAGACTACGGACTACTATGCAACCATTTAAAAGAATGAAGCCATTCTCTGTAGGGGCTCCGGGACACCAGGCAGGGGGAGGGAGCAAGGCTCACAAACTGCGCACAATGCAATACCTCTTGTGCTGAAGTACAAAATGAAGCTACAAGAACTTGGAATGGTTGCCTCTGGAGAGAGCACAGAACTTATATGCATTTAAAATACTTTTATTGTTGCATTAAACAATAAGCAAAAGTGGCTATACTCTGAATAGAATGTCCTAGGAAGACAAACATGTCCATCAAGAGAACTGCTGTTGTGTTTAGAAGATAAACCGGGGCGGGGGGCTGCCTGGGTATGTTCTAGAAGGAGAAACTCGAGACCTGTTTTATTTTTTTTGAATTCCCTAAAGGCACAGGCTCTGTAGAAAGAAATCCTGCAGCTCGCTATGGAAGGGGAGCCTGTTAAGAGAGAAGGGGCTCCATCTGAACTGAGGAGTGAGGAAGCCCCCAGGTTTTGGTGGACAGCTAGAGTCTGAGCTCTGAGAAAGATGGAAGAGCTAAAGTGACGACTGTATTTGACTGTCATCTATCTTGTGTGTGACACGTTACAATTTCTCTTCAGGAAATCAACTCTTTGGTGAGAGGATGCTATCTTCTTCAGCAGCCCTGGGTCAATGAGATTTTGGTCCATGTAAGGGAGAGGGACAGTGGCTGGGGTAAGAACTGGATCACTGGAGCTTAGAGCAGCTGTGGGAGTCAGGAGACTTCAAAGCAGAGAGTGGACATGGGATCCACCCTAAGAGAAAGATACTGTGATTCCTGGAAAGAAAACAGGTTCTGGGGTTCTAAGAAAGGGACAGTCTCCCGAGACAGAAGTCACCATGGTCCTGAGACCTGTCCCTCAAACAGCAGGAGCTACCCTATCTTTTGGAGGCAGGTTCCTTTTGGCTGGCCCTTCGGAATCCTGCCCTTGGGTTCTATGCTTTATATTTGCAGCCACCCCTAGAATCTCCAGGGCATCTTAGCTTCAGGGATCTCTCCAAGAGTTTCAGGAACCTGCAGAAAACTGTTGCTGCCTTTTGTCTTGCATGACACAGGTGCCTGGGAGAGCCAATGACTCACTTGGAGGTTTAGTCTTGGGACCATCTAGCCCAAGCTACCTTAACTGGAGCCCCTCGCTGTCAACCAGATCCACGAGCACCTTCTTCACTTCCCACATCTCCCTCATCCCCCAGACACACTCACCCAGCTTCACCTGGAGCGGGGATGGTTTGTAATTCATGGCTACTGACTCACCCTCCCGGGCATCACAGTCTCGGTCTGAGATAGAGGCTGCGGCTGGATCCTGTTGGGGAGAAAGCAGAGAGACAGGAAAGGATTAGTATGTGACCCCATGGGTTGTTCTGAACCCTGAAGCAAACCTACTCATCTGCCCTCTGGGATTCTGGGAGCATTTACTCCAATAGCAGGGGAGTCAGTATTCAGGGAAGGAGAGGAAGACTCTACTATGCTCTGTAGAAGAGAGGAGATGATGTTTGACTCCCATCCAACAAGAGTCCTGTGAAAGCCAGGCTGCCCCAGAAAGCCCTGCCTAAAACCCACAGGGCTTCCTCTACAAAAGCTGGTGCAAGCTGTTTGGCTCTCAGGTTCTCTGTGTATTAAGAAAGGAGTCTAAGTTCCTCTGAGCTTACAGATGGATCAAGGTCAAAGCAGGTACTCCCTGAGAGCTGCCCTTTCTGTTTTGTCTTTGCAGGCTCTAGACAACCAACTGGCCAATCCAAGCAAGGCTCCAGACTTCAGCCACTGACTAAAAAGTGAGGCCTTCTGAAGTTCCCAGATGAGCTCCAAGCAGAGCTTCTCCATGGATGGGAATGGTGGCTGAGAAGGTGGAGCTGACAAACCAGCAGGTGACCACGTGGTTCTGTGCTGTCCTGAAAGCAGAACACGTGATGCGGGTGACAAGGAGGGTAGACAGGCATTGATTCTGGGCGTGCAACCCTTGCACTTTTCCCTTCACTAGCTCTCAATAGCCTCTAGCTCTGGGCCGGACCCCATGCTTCCCAGAGTCCTTAGCTAGCCCTGTTATCTCTCCAAAATACCCTCACTGTACGAGATCCAGGGACCCTGTCTCATGCCATTGGTGATGAGCACTTCCTTTTTTATGGGGAGACTAAAGATTTTATCCAGGTTAAGCAGCACTTGCATCTGTATTTGAGACTGTTTTACAATCATTTCTCTACTATAGGCAGGCATGTGAGTTTAGTTGCAATTCTTTTTCTGGAATAAAGATATTTTCAATATTTTTCATAATTGTCAGATTCACAATTATAGAGGGAGCTAAAGATGAGCTTCTCTTAGAATGAAAAACTTTTATTTTACAATGTTTTTATACTCAGACCAGTAGTGTTGGCTGAGTGGTTAAGAGCACTTGTTCTTGCAGAGAACCTAGGTTTGATTCCCAATACTCACGAGGAGGTTTAGAACCTTCTGATCCAAGGATTTCTGACATTTGTGGCACCAGGCACACATGTAGTACATATACATGCATACAGGCAAAATACACTTACAAGTAAAATAAAAGAAATTTTGAAAAGTTTTTATTCTTTGAGAATTTCATACAGTGTATTTTGATCCTATTCATTCCTACTCCTCCCCCAACTCCTCCCTACTTCTCTCCTAACTCCTCCCAGGTCCTCCCTTTCCTCCCTACCCCCTAAACTTTCTGTCCCTTTTCTTTTTCTTTCTTTTTTCTTTTTTTAAAAACTAATCTAAGAGTTCAATTTATGCTAATCTTATACTTCTGGGTGTGGTACTGTCCACCAGAGCATGACCCACTAGTAGGCACACTCTTAAAGAAAACTGACTCTTTCTCCCTGTCCCAGAAGCTATGAATTGCCCGTAACCCTTCAGTTAGGGGTGCAGGACCATGAGCCCCTTTCTCCTTGCACTGACTTGATCTACATAGGTCTTTTGCAAGTAAGCACAGCTGTGTGAGTTTGTGAGTCCAGAGGATACATTTTGGTCTGGTCTTTCCTGACCCAAAGGACCCAAAAGAACTCAAGGAAACAGGAATCTTTAGAATCCAATCTTCCTCATGGTCTCTGGGCATCGTAGGGTAGTGATGAGAGGCTCCGTGGTGGCTGGCTGTCCACCGACACTCATTTTCTGCACTTTGACTGTGAGTTTCTGAGCTAAGTACCACGATGACCAGTGTAATACAGGTCCTGCCGTTTTTAGCTGGGGACTTCAGAGTGACCATCCTAAGGTATGAAGACTGCAAAGGACCATACTGCTTGTTCTATCCTTGAAGATACAGAAAGCAGACAGACAGGCAGACAGATAGAATGCTCCAGGACTGGCCCCCAGTATCAGGTCCAGGGATCTGCATCGCTCCTGCTGACCCTTTTACAGTGAAGTAAGGTCTAGAGAAGTGACTCAGTGACTAAGGCTCTTGCTGTGCAAGCATGAGGACCCCAGAGTTCAGATTAGGCCAGGAGCACTGAGTGTCTGTAACCCCCATGTGTCTCGAGTGTGAGGTGGAGGCAGAAACAAAGGGCTCTCCAGAAGCTCCCAGCCTAGCTAGCTTGGTCTATGCAAGGGTGAACAATAAGAGACAGTAGGCTGCCAGGACCAATACTGTTCTGAGTTGTCCTCTGACCAGCTCACACGTGCTCACAATGAACGAGAGTGCACACACATCACACACATGAAGACAAAATAGAAATGATGCGGCGGGCATGAGCTGTTTTACAGTCCTGCTTGTTACCATGGTGAGAAGGAAGCAGCTAGGGTGTTTGGGAGGGAAATTCTGGCCCTGTCTGTTCCTGGGTGGACTGGGCTGCCATAGTGGCTTTCAAGATCCTGAGCAAGAACCTGGGCCTACCACTCTGCCTCAGTCTCCACCCCTTAACCACGGGTACAGTAGGAAGGGCGCCTTGTGTGGCAGTGGGGTAGATAGCAGTGTGGGTACCTCAGATCACTTCCCAAGTGCCAGTCCTTCCCAGTCTTCATCCTCTCAGGCTCTGCAAAGTTCCTTGGGAGGCTCCTTTCAAATTGCACATTGGAAAAGCCGGCCATCAGTGGCCTTAACTAAGCTGACGCCCAAAAGGCCTCTCAGTTGCTACCCACGAGGGAGACAGAGACCCGATCGCTGGACTCTGACAATGACTCTTAAGCCATAGGGTGCGCTCTCAAGTCATTCTGAGGGAGGGATTTTCAAATGGAAAATCCTGCAGGCATGCTGGCAGCACCATACCAGAAGGATCTGGTCTGTTTCTAGACTCCTCGGTCACATTCCTGTCATCTTTGTCAAGCAGGACATCAAGTATACCCGTCTGGGACTGGCTTCCTCAGGCCGCTGTGCTCCCATGGCCCATCTTCTGCCTCTGATCATTTCTGTGTCTATCTACATCTCTTTGTCTCCGCAGACTCTTTCGACTCCATTTTCTCCTTAAAGAAAGCTGATAGTTCCTGCAGACATTTTATACTCATGACTTCTAAACTGTGGTCTTTTAATGAACAAGCCTGCTCCTTGGCCTCTCACTTTCCACATGAGTGTTTGGTCTCGTTGTCTTTTCTCTGAGGTTGGTTTTAGATAACACAATCCCCTGGGCAACTGGAGCTAAGGCAGTGTCCTAGTGCATTGGTTTCTTCTCTGAGGTTACAGGTGTCAGCAGTAACATGTGAAGCAGAAAACTCAGGAAGGACAGAACCTGGGACGAGGACTGGGAGCTATTGAGCAATGCTGGTCAGTGATCCATTACAGCTCTCAAGACCTACTGGCAGGTCCTAGTGGTATTTGATCCTGAGTGAAACCATAGGATCAAAGCCCTAGGCTGAGCGGCTCCAAGCCAAACCTGCCCATTCAGCAGCTCCTCCGTCACTGTCCATGGTAGAAGGCTATTTAAGCGGCAACTACAAAGGTCTCTGGCACAGTGCCATCAAACACTGTGGACTTCCTGAGTGCCTTCTCTGAGAAATGCAGGCAGTGCACCATGACCATTGTATAGTGATTAAATGTAAAATATTCATGAACAAAAGTAGCAGAGAGGACTGAGGCAGAAGGAAGCGTCTGGCTCCAAGAATCAGAGAGGATTTAAAATGCCCCCCAAGGACTTCCAACAGGCGTTAGCTAGATCCGGGAACTAGAGTGGGGATTAACAAGATTATTAATAAACACTCAGCAGAGACAGACCTTGAAATACATCTCTAACAGCAATCCATGTCTCTACAACCATTCAAACAAATCCTCCAAAGGCTGAAGAGAAGATTAATAGCTTGGGCTATCGGCTGATAGCCAGCACAACATCAACACAGCCAGAGGAAAGTCAAAGAGCCAGAAGCAAAGAGCCATCCTCAGAGTTAGCATGGTCTGCAATTTTTGATCAGCTGTATTCCCTGAACCCTGTGCTTTAGAAGGGGCTGGGATGTAAGTGGGGCGTATGTGTAGGAATGGTAGTTACAGAGTCCTGGGTCCCTTCAATCAAAGAAATCCATTGTTATTTCAATTCCTATATTAGCCTTTCTGAAAAATTCTGGTTAGCAAAAGGGTCTTGTTAATTACAAAAAAGATTACTAAATATATTCCTGCAAGATGGCTCAGTAGGTAAAGGTGCTGGCGACCAAGCCTGACAATCCCTGGGCTCCACATGGTGGAAGGAGAGAACTCCTGCAGGTTGTTCTCTGACCTCTATATGTGCTCTGTGGCCCCTCCCCACCCCTGACAAATAAATCAATATAATAAAAATGAAATGTTAAAAAGTCATCGATGTAATCCACTCTAGTCTTGTAAGACTCTTTTGGAAATGGCAGAAAACAACGATCCTGGGCACCTATCTATACATGTATGCATGAGAGTGCGCCCACTTATGCTTGTGTGTGCAGAGAGGCACAAGGATCCATGTTGAGTTGCTGTTTCTATTGCCTTCTCAATATTGAACCTGGAGCTCTGCAATTAGGCTGGACTGGCTGGCCAGTGAGATCCGCCTGACTCCACCCCCTTCTTCCCCTGGCACCGCAGTTACAGACACACACTGTCATGTCCAGCTTTTACTCGGGTGCTGGGAATCTGAACTCAGGTACACAGGCTTACACAGCAAACATCTTCCCACGAACCATCTCCTCACCCTCCACCAATTTTTTGTTTTTTAAAATAAGGAAAACTAAATACACATCACAGAGCCCCAGAATCATTGACACATTAAACTCTTGGCTGAAAATAAATGAATAAGAAGACAATGTTGTTTTAAAGGGAAGGACACAGGTGCCAATAGTGTTCTTTGAGAGGCATCCAGAAAAAGATGTGGACTGCTGTAGCAGGAGAGAATGGCAGATCATCAGCTAGTA